GACCCCCGGCACCCCCTGCACCCCACCTGCCTTCTCGCACACACGTGTGCACCGGCACGGGTCTTCCATCCCAGCGTGCCAACGGGTATCGGGTTGGCACCTCCATTTCTCTTTCTGTCCCCCCAAAAGCAGCATCCCCCCCCCAATCAGCTTGCGTGTGCTGGGCTGGTGGGGTGGAACTGGGTGGGTGCCACTGGTGGGGCTCAGCAGCCTCCAGTATGGTCGGGTGGCTTTTGGTCTGCCGGGGGGTGTCCGAGATGCAGCCCCCCAGTGGGGTCAGGAGTGGGGGGAACCGGGGATGCTCGGTCCCATCGGGGCATTCTCGGTCCCATCACGGCATATTTGGTCCCATCGGGGCACACTTGGTCCTGTTGGGGCACAATCAGTCCCATCGGGGCAACCTTGGTGCCATCAGGGCTCACTTGGTCACACTGGGGGCACGCTCAGTCACATCGGGGACACATTTGATCCCATTGGGGACACACTTGGTGCCATCAGGGCTCACTCGGTCCCATCAGGGACACGCTCAGTCCCACTGGGGGACACATTCGGTCCCATTGGGGACATGCTCAGTTCCATTGGGGACACACTTGGTCCCATCAGGGACATGCTCTGTCCCATTGGGGACACATTCGATCCCATTGGGGACCCCTTCAGTCCCACTGGGGACACACTCGGACCCATCAGGGAAATGCTCGGTCCCATTGGGGACACGCTCGGTCCCATCAGGGACACGTTCGGTTCCATTGTGGACACACTCAGTCCCATCGGGGACACATTTGGTCCCATCATCAGGGACATGCTCAGTCCCATCGGGGGCACATTCGGTCCCACTGGGGACACTCTCAGTCCCACTGGGGACACATTCAGTCCCGTTGGGGACATGCTTGGTCCCGCTGGGGACACGCTCAGTCCCATTGGGGACACACTTGGACCCATTGGGGACACGCTTGATTCCATTGTGGACACACTCAGTCCCACTGGGGACACACACAGTCCCATCAGGGACATGCTCTGTCCTGTTGGGGACACATTTGATCCCATTGGGGACACTCTTGGTCCCACTGGGGACACATTTGGTCCCATCAGGGACATGCTCAGTCCCATTGGGGACACATTCGATCCCATTGGGGACACTCTTGGTCCCGCTGGAGACATATTCAGTCCCGTTGGGGACACACTTGGACCCATTGGGGACACATTTGGTCGCATTGTGGACACACTCAGTCCCATTGGGGACACATTTGGTCCCATCAGGGACATGCTCAGTCCCATCAGGGGCACAACTGCTCCCGCTGGGGACACATTCGGTCCCACTGGGGACATTCTCAGTCCCATTCGGGACACACTTGGACCCATTGGGGACACACTCAGTCCCATTGGGGACACTCTCAGTCCCACTGGGGACACACTCAGTCCCATCAGGGACACGCTCAGTCCCACTGGGGGCACAACTGGTCCCACTGGGGACACATTCGGTCCCATCAGGGACACACTCAGTCCCATTGGGGACATGCTCAGTCCCATTGGGGGCACACTCGGTCCCACAGCTGTCCCCCCCGCCCCGTGACCCCCCAACCCTCGGCCACCTCCTCCCATCCTCCTCCTCCTCCTCCTCCTCCTCCTCCTCGGGGTGAGGAAGGGGCTCTCCCTCCCTTCCCCCCCCCGCATCGCAATCTGTCCCCCCTCGTGGCTTTGTCAGCCACGGTTGGAAAACG